ACTGACAACTGAGATTATGTAAAAGTTTTGAAAAGGAATCTAGCTTACAAAAATAATAAAAAAGTGGCCAATGAGGCCAAAACTAAAGATGCGCAATGAAGCCAAATTGAAAAACATACATAAAGTGTATCAAATTAAAAGATGCATAAAATGCGTCATTCAAATTAGCCCACCATAAGCAAGTTCTCCTCTTTTTTCAAACTTTTAAATCTTAGAAGAATTTGTGTATCACTTGGGAATATGAGTGCCTCCACTCCTATTTTTTCAAACTTTTAAATATTAGACATGAGTGCCTTCATTCCTTTTTTTTTTCTATTTTTTCCTCCTCCTTTTTTGTGATGTCAAAAGGGGGAGTAGTGTTTGAAGTTATTTTCATTAAGGTTTGATTGTTTAATTATTTCCATCATAAAAAAGGGGGGAGATTTTTGTGAATCTATTTTCCAAGGAATATGATTATGATCATAGCAAACACATCTATTTCTCTACGACTGTCTTGCCTTCTAATATTTCAGGTCCATAAGATCAAACTGCAATTTGAATCAACTTAAGATTAGGTATACTAGGTCTGAGTCAATTTGTAAACCTTTTTCTCTTTCTTGAGTCTATTGTAAACAGTGTGGTTCCTGATGCAAAGTAACCTTGCACACACACACTTGGTGGAATTTTTTCTGTATGATTTAGAGTTCTCTATTTTTGCTCACATCATCCGGGATGATTCAAAATTGTCCTGGATGATCAGCTAAAAATAAAAACCCTAATTAGGGCATCCTGATTAAAGCAGCCATTATTAAATGCATCATCATGAATAATTTTTGTATTAGCCAAGATGATAGGCTCAAATAAGAAAGAATCAGCCGCTAGATCTATTTTGGTATTATTTATTTTTGGATATCATCTTGGATGATGTAATATAATTATGCCTAAATTAATATGTTAATTAAGGAAAGCAATTAAGGTTTGATTTTTCAATCAATTTGTCCAGGACGAACAGTTCAAAAAACCTTAGTTGTTCCTGGACGATTAACATCAGCTAGCTACTATTTAGGGTGATACTCTAGACAATTTCCTCAGATTTAAACCAATCGTTCGGGATGATCATGAGATAGGCCCGGACGATTAAGCTATTTTTCCATCATCCAGACATCTATTTAGTGCGATTTTCTGGATGATATTCATCGATTTGTACTAATCGTACATGACAATTTTATATCGGCCTGGATGATATAAACAAAAACCTTATGATTGTCCCAATTTGTCCTGACTGATTGAGCTTAAATTGAACTGATCATATAGAATGATATTTATGTCGTCCTGGACGATAGAGTTGGTAAGTTGCAATTAATGAGCTATTTCGAAGCTCTTCTATTTAAGAGCACTTTTTCTACCCTTTAGAACTTTTTTTGCTACTGTTTTGACCTGAGATAGCTAAGAGGAGAGGGAGAGCAAAGGAGACTGGGAGAAGATCTTGTGAGGGAGAGTTTATAAGGGGGTTCACAAAGGTTTCTCCAAGCAAGGATCTGCCATCATCTTCTCATGTCATCATCCTTAGTTCCTTAGGGGTTCTAGAGAGGTAAACTTCAACAACTGATCAAGGTTCTCTGCCTGCTTCAGGAGAAAGCAAAAGGAGTTGGGCTCTCTGCCTGCTTCTAGAGGAAGTAAAAGAAGTTGGGTTCTCTGCCTCACCGGGGTTGGTGGAAAGGAGGTTTGTAAAGGCTTCTCCAACTTGCTGTGGGGAAAAAGGATAGACTTTAAGTTTAGTGCAATACTCAGAGGGTTCCTCTGTAGAGTGGACATCGGTCATGTTGACCAAACCACTATAAATTTCAGTGTTCTTTATTACTACTTCCGCATTTAATTTTCATACTTTGATTTCTGTGGTGAATCTTGATATTTGTTTTAAGATTGTGTTTTGATCGAAAGATTTTTTAAATACCAAATCCCCCCCCCCTCTTGGTTAGCCTTAGGACTAGTTTATAAGGGCTTAACATCCCTATCAAACTTTCTAGTTCCATTAGAGCACTTTCAATGATCAGATGTATAAGGACTTTGGATATAATAGTATGAATTGGGGAAAATGTCCAACCAAGCATTGTTAACCATAACCCTATCTAGTTTGATGTGGATTGGATTGCCCATTTCCTAGTTATACCAAGTGTAAGTAAATCTAATAAAATGAAGATCTCTAAGACCATTTACAAAAATCATATTATTAAAATCAGTCAAACACCCTTGCGAAAGAGTCAAGCCCCCCTCCCCCCTGTGAGACCTCGTTCCCTTACTGTTCCTCTCCTGATTTAAATTTTCCTCTCAGGATCATCCAGGACGATTTTAGATCGTCCAGGCCGATCGGCACTGTAGAAAATATCGGCCTGAGAATAGTTCTGGGAATCGTCCAGGACCTTTTGAGATATGAATCGACTTGTATATTGATGTTTTACATTTTATAGATGTTTGATAGACTGCTTAATTGAAGGTTTTAGATAACTCTGGTAAATTGTTTGAGAAATAGATTGACATTCTTTCCAAGTTAGATCTTGGGGCATCACACCCCCTCCCCTCTTTTTTGAAGCATACCGGAAACAGTTGAAGTCCCCCATAAGAATCCAAGGGACAATAAGAGTTGGTGCAATTTGAGAGATATGGTCCCAAAGTTCTTTCCTTTTAGAACTACTATTAGAAGCATATATGATTGTAAGTTGGAAAGGGGACATTGAGCCATCCGTAACATTACCAGATATTAGCAGTGGAGAAGCATGGGCAGGAGCAAAATTGATCTTACTCAAATCCTACCCGAAGATGAGTGGTCAAAATTATTACAACTTTGTTCATTAGGAAAAATCGGTTGGATAATTTCAAAAAAACGGTCAAGAAGAGCTGCAGAATGGATTATAGTTTCCAAGATACAAAGCATAACCAATTTAAACGGAGCCACCAAACATTTGCAACATAAGACTTTGTCAGGGCGATTGAAACCCCTAACATTCAAAGCTGTAATATAGGGAAGTAGCATCAGGATGATGTGTGTGAATGGGTTTTTTTTTTCTTGCTTACCCATAGCAGACTTTTTAGTCACATTCGAGCTTGGAGGTTGTTGGGACTTTGTATTTTTTACGACCTTATCATCACATACAGAAAAAACCTTTTCATCATAGACCATCTTATCAATAGGCTTGCTTGACTCCTCATGATATTGCAGGATGTCAAACATATTTGTGTCATAACTCCGTTAGGAGAAGCGACATCAAAACTTGTTGAGGTAGTAGTAGAAGAGGCAGAATTCTCTTCCATATAAAGGAGAATTTAAATTGGGGATATTTGCTTGCCCTTGTTCCAAGGTATTAGGAGGGGTTGAGCCAATTGGTTCAGATGGATTTTTAGTTTGAGGTTTTTGTCGAGCTAGAGAGAGGTTGGTGTTATGATGTTGGGGAGGAGGTGAGTGCGGCTGGTAGTAGAGAGGCTTCCCAATGGAATTTGTAACATTAACTTGATTCAAGTTAGGAACTGAGGAGCTCTGGTTGGTACCAGTAGTAGGCGGGATTTTAGCAGAATTTAGAGATTGTTGTTTAGGTGGTAATTAAGGGGGAATAACATAAGAATTTAGATTCTTAGGAGGGTGCGAAGAAGGGTATATCTTCTTCAGATTTATGCTGTGGCTTCGTCCCCTCAGGGGAAGATTTTTTGCGCCTTCAGTTGCCGAGTTGATTAACTCATCAGTCTGCGGTTTTAAAGGGAAGACCGAAGAGAAATGGACAAGAGACTTACAGTGATCACACGGAGTTGGCCACCACTCGTATTGTACCTTTAATCCCACAACATAACCGTCCAGGGAAAATTTAATTTCTTCTGGATATGTCGCATTACAGTCAACCAGCACGCAAACCCTAGCAAAGGTGAGACGAGACTTTTTGACTGTGCATGAGAGAGTTAGCCGTAAGGGGAACACCAACTTTGCTCGCAATCCTTGATATGCCCTCCGAATTCTAGCATGCAAGAGGCAAATCATGAATTTTGACCCATATGGGAACAGAGAAAAATTTTTCCCTTTTTGGCCTGAACTTAAGATGCCAGTTTTGAAGAATGAATGGCTTGCCAAGGAGAAACCAGACTCCTTTGGAGCAAAACATGTCCAGATCTTCTGAACAAGCAAACTGAAATAAGAAAAAATCGTCACTATGCGAGAGCATATGCAACGAACCTTTCAGATTCCAAGTTTTCTTAATGGCGCCAAGTAAAGCTTTGTAGTATGGCCTGCGTCCAATGGTGTACCCGACCAAACATAGACTCCAATCTTCTGTTCCTTTAGACAAATAGTCTCCAGAAAAAGGAACAATTTTAGGATCTTGTGGGAAATGGGGGAGATGAAGATCATCGACGAGAATTCTTCAATCACAAAAGCAGCTTTCCAATTGCGTTTTGGCAGGGGAGACAGTCCACCTGTAGAAGATAGTGGGGGAAACTCAGAGAGGGGAAGTGAACGATCCATGAAAAAGAAGGGAGAGGGCCTCCGGCAGAGCAAGAGGGAGAGGAGAAGCAGACGGCCCAAAGCAGCTAGAGTTGAGGAAGAGAAATCCTAGTAGAGCCTATTCCTGAAATTCCACTAGTAATGACTCTGTTCCGCCCTGTTTTTTCATTGATATTTTTCCCTTCCTACTAATAGGAAAAAGGGTGCCGTTCTTTTAAAAAATAAATAACAAACGAAAGGCCAGCATTCTTTTAAAAAACAAAATAAGAAATGAAATTAAAAAAAATTCCTATGAACCATAAATTTTTTCCTGCCAAGTATTACGATAGCATCCCTCACATGGGAATTGGCCTTACCCCATGTTGAACTTAAATATTTTAATTTTCTTTTTCATTTTTTCTTTCCTATTTTTAATTAATTAAGTTTTTTAAAATAAATTTATTTATTTGTTATTTGACTTTTCTTGCATAAACATTTTAGGGTTATAAATAATCGTAGATTTCGGTTTGGATAGACATCCCTTACAGAGGTAACTAAAACGAGGTAATGATGAATCCAATTCTGCTTGCTGCTATTCCAATTATTTCTTATTTCTTTCTACTACTTGCAAGAATGAAGGTCATCCCACAGAACGCAGTTCTGTTACCTTCACCTCCGAGACTTCCTATCATAGGTAATCTCCACCAACTTGGCTCCATTCTTCATCGCTCACTCTACAAGCTTTCAAAGCAGCATGGACCTTTGATGCTCCTCCATCTTGGTACTGTTCGAACGCTAGTGGTATCATGCCCAAAAATTGCAGAAGAGGTGATCAGAAACAATGATCTCGTATTTGCCACTCGTCCCAAGAGCAAGGTAATGGGTGCTTTGTCCTACAACAAGAATGACATAGCCTTCGCTCAATATGGAGAGAGTTGGAGACAAATGAAAAAACTTGCCAAAACCCACCTTCTTAGCTCACAAAGAGTGAAGTCCATGAGCTCCGATCGAGCAGAAGAGGTGTCTCTTTTGCTTGAAAAAGTTGCTGATGCAGCTTCGAGGGGTAATGGAGTTATATGCCTCACAGAGATATTGAATTCTTACGTAACCAACGTGATCACTAGAGCGGTTTTAGGATCTTGGGTAACTAAAGAGAAAAAGAAGCTTTTGTCCAAGCTATCACACGAGTCTTCAGCTTTATTTTATGAAGTTTTCTTTGAAGATTTTTTCCCGAATTTAAATTGGCTAGATGTTCTGAGGGGATCAGATAGAAAGCTCAAGAATTACATGAAGAATTGGGATGCTCTTTTTGAGGAAATTATTAAGAACCATGGTCGTGAGTCAAAGGAGGTAAACGGTAAGAACAACACTTATTTCATTGGTACGTTGCTTGAATTGCAGAATGATTCGAGCTTGGGATTTTTCCTCACAAACGATCACATCAGGGGTCTTACCTTGGTAATAATCACAAGAGTTTTTTTACTAATACTTCAGTTGTAAAATATATGTTCCTAACAAATATAAATTCAGATAATAACTCTTTCATTTTTTAACAAATTTAAATCATAACTTTTATTGTATTCCTTTTTTTTTTTTTTTTCATTGGCTTCTAGAATCCGACCAAATGCATTGATATCTACAGTGCGGACAATTGATATTTTCAAAATAGGATCATTTTAAATCATACTATTTGGTTAAACAACATAATATTGTTCAAACTAACTTTTCATGATACTTGATATTGCTTTAAAGTAATAAGATTGTTTTTAGATTAAACTACTATCTAAATACTGTTGAACCAAATAAACTTTTCTCTTAATATGCTTTATTTGAAATAGGATATGATTATTGCTGGAATAGACACAACATTCGCAACTCTGGATTGGTGCATGACAGAACTTGTTCGAAATCCAGAAGTAATGAAGAAGGTAAAGGACGAACTGAGAAAAGTGGCTCATGGAGAAGATATGATTATTGAAGAATTGTTGGGCCAACTAAGCTACTTGAAGGTTTTTATAAAAGAAGTCATTCGGCTGCATCCATCATCCCCGTTATTGCTTCCTCGAGAGTCATTGGAAGAGTGTCAAATACAAGGCTACAATATTCCTAAGCAAACCAGACTAGTCATCAATGCATGGGCTTTTGGGAGAGATAAATCTTATTGGGAAGCACCTGAACAATTCAAACCAGAGAGATTCTTTGATAGTAATGTGGACTATAAAGGTAAAGATTTTTACTTTATTCCATTTGGTGTTGGTCGTAGGATTTGCCCTGGAATGGATTTTTCAATGGTTGTTATTGAGATTGCTCTAGCAAATCTTCTGCATTGCTTTGATTGGAGTCTGCCAAGAGGCATCACTGTTGAAGATATGGACATGATTGAATGTGGAGGAGTAATTTCTTCAAGGAAACAGAAGCTGGAGTTAGTGCCAATAGCTAGTAAGGTTAATTAGAGCTACATCATGCCTTTTTTAATGAGATGTTATGATCGTCTCATGCATGTGAAAAATGTTACTATATGTAATAAATTTGTGTGCTAAGTGCTTGAAACCACTACTAATAACCTATTCCTACTATATATGATTGTGGCAGAAGAATTGCTTCAAGGACGAATGACTAGAGTTAATTAGAGCTACATCATTTCATTTTAAATGAGATGATACGATCATATCATGTATTTGCACTGCAAGAAATTTGTTTGATAGAGGTCAAAAAATTAGAGACAAAAAGAAAATGGTCACTAAAAATATCCTTTTAGTGACAAAAAATAAGGCCTCTAAATTAATAGGAAGCATTATATTAGCAACCGAAAAGAAAAATTAACTGCTAATTTTGTCTCTAAAAGACTATATAATTTTTCAAGCTAATAGGAAGCTTGATTTTGGCTACCCAAAATATTCTTTTAGCGATCAAAATTAAGTAAGACATCTAGAGAATAGTGTCATTTTGGTGACAGCTAATATTTTTTTACTTGAGCAGATTATACATTTTAAGAATATCAATAACATTCATTTTAGAAAAATTATTCTTAAACGAAATTTTGATTGATGTATAGATAATTTGTTCACATAAAAACTTAAAATGATATATTTGATTAATTATTCAGTTTATACAATCCGAAAAAACCTAAATTAATTAAGTTTAATAAATTAATTAATAAAATAAATATATAAATTTATTATTTAAATAAACCAAATTACTTTTGTTAAAACCAATAAATTTTCTAAAATACTTTATGAATTTTAAAACATGTTAAGATTAGTCAACATGCATATGCAAAACCAAGCATTAAGTTAAACAATTTTTTTATACTAACATAAGTGAAAAAAGTTTAGAGATTCTATTAAAAACAAAACAAGTTGGGTTTCAAAAAGAGGTGAAATTGCAATTTGGATTTATTGAAGCTTGAAAATTTAAGGAATTAATGTTTAATTCCACCCCAATATGATGAACATAAGCATTGATCATTTGACCTTACAATTTGCGTTCGCTAATAAGATTGGTAAGGAACATTATGCAATAAACATATTACAAAAACAAAATCTATCCAAATTTAGTTTAAAACAATGGATAAAATTTGTATTTATAAAGTTACATTAGCAATTTACACTAAGGAACTCAATGTATAATTTTCATATCTTGGTGGCTTGTGAAATTTTTCACAAATTCAGTTATTCAAAATCTTCAAAAGGATTAGTTTCTTTGAAATTTGATTTGGAACAAACCTATGACTCCATGGGTTGGCCAACATTGGAGAAAGTTTTAAAATACTTCAGCTTTCCTACTGTTATATCCAATCTGATCTTGGAATGCATAAAAGAATCGAAATTCTCATTGGTAATTAATGGGAGCACTTCAAGATGAGGATTTCATCAAGGTTGTCCCTTATCACGATTTATGTTTATTCTTTGTGCTCAACTTTTATCCAATGCGTTTAAACAAGGAGGTGATGAATATGGTGTACGTCTGAGTCAAAGTAGCCCCAAGATCTCTCATTTGATATATGCGGATGACATCATAATATTCTCAGAAGCTAATTTGAAGGTGGTAAAGAAGATCAAATGTATAATGGAAGACTTTTGTAGTTGGACTGGACAAAAAATAAATGTAAATAAGTCATGCATTCTATTTGAGAATATGATAAGAAGAAGGTGAAAAAAGAGTATATCTCGCATTATGGGTATAAAAGGAGACAAAGGATTTCGTTATCTTGGATCCAAGATATCATTAAGAAGGTTAGTTGGAGGAAATTTTCAATTGATTATTGAAAAGGCTTTGAAAATGATTAACATTTGGGGAAGTAAATTCATTTCCTTGGTGGGAAAAATAAATTTGGTCAAAACAATGTTGCTTTCATATATTGTTTTTCATTGCACACATTCCTTGGTTCCAAAGGGATACTTGAAGAAATTGATAAACTTTGTAGATGTTTTATTTGGAATAAGATGAATGGTAATTGTGGACTTCATTACGTGAATTGGAATATTATGTTCTTACCTTTGGAATGGGGTGGGAGAGCACTTCATTCTTGTCGTGATAAAGTTGGGCCGCTTAGAGCAAAACTTGCTTGGAGGTATAATCAAGAGGAAGAATCATTGTTGCATAAGGCTTTGTTTCCTAAATATGGATACTTATATGGGGATAATTTCTCAAAAAGTTGGGTTCTGCAGCTTCGAAAATTATTTATGATGGGGCAGTATTTCTAAAGCCTATTGTTAGATGGAACATTGTTAATGGAGAATCAATTGATGCTTTCAAAGATATTTGGATATTGGATAAAACCCTCAACAAATGGCCTACATATGTGATCCCTCAAGAGTTAGAAGAATTCACAGTTGACGATTCATATCAAGAGGAAGCTGGAATTTTGAAGAACTTAGAAAGGTTTTTGGAGATAATCTTACAAGTTTGATTAGTCATATTCACATTTATTCTGATTTGCCAAAAGATGGCATGGAAGTAGTATCCAGATACTCTGGTAAATAAATTTCATCTCTTGCTTATGAAGCTACAGTTTAGAAATCCCAGCATGTAACATGTTGGACTTGGATAAAGAAAGCAAAGCCTAGTCCTCGGGTTGAAGACTTTTGGCAGAGATTATTCAACAAAGCAATTCCAAAGAATGAATTTCTTTGATATAGAAAATTGCAAATTCAAAATGGATGTCGTAGAAATTGCAATATGCAAGAAGATAATGAACATGTGATTGTTAAATGCAAAAAACTGAATGGTATATTCCACAATTAAACAAGTGGGGAATTGATATTCCAATGTTTTGTTAGTTGGATGAAGGCTTTAAATGTATACCTTTACAAAACTATTGGTTGGTCAATTTTTTTTTTTTTTTTGTAATGTTATTTATTTTCATGGAAGGCAAGAAAAAAGCTTGTTCATGATGGTAAAAATGATAGTTCTTTATTCATTGCTTCAGAAGCTCTCAGCTATGCTATAGTTTTTGCAACTAAATCTTCATGTAACTCAGGTAAAAGGGCTTCAAATCAACTTCATAAGCATTTGGATAATCATTGGCATCCCCCTCCACCCAATTGGATAAAGGTAAATGTTGATGCATCATTACTTAAATCCTATAAAGTAGGGATCAGTGGAGTATTTTGAGACTTTAAAGGAAGATTTCTTTTGGCTTTTGAACATACTTGTGTTCATTGGGATATATCAAGGCTTGAACTCTTAGCTAATCAATCACTCAAAGATGTTGTTAAAGAATGGATGTTAAACTATAAGGGGATCATCTTTGAAAGTGACAATGCAAATATTATCAAGCTTCTTCAAGAGAATTTCTATAAGTATAATCAAGACTTGGAAGCTTCTTTCAAAGATTTCAATAATGTTATTTTTAATTCTATAGATAGAAAGTGTAATAAGTTAGCAGATCTTTATGCTAACTATGCACTTTTTAGCTCTTTTATTTGGGATGTTTTAGTCGTAATTAAGGTTCCTACTACTTTTATTTATTTGCTAAAGGAGGAATCTAATGGCATTTGTTAGTTTTATGCTTTGTTCATTTTAATAAGTTTAAATGCAGCTAGTTGCATTTTCTCAAAAAAAATAAATAAAAATAGAGAATAAAAAAAAAAAAAAAACCTTCTTGGAACTATATGTCATCTAAGTTTATGTTTATGACACTATTACTCCTTGGTTCAATTGCTCCTACAAAAGACATAGACATGTACTTGAAGCTCTTATAGAAGATTTAAATGACTTATGGGTGAACATTATGAGAACTTATGATTTGTAACTAGAAAATCATTCAAATGGATGTTCTCTTTCATAGACTATAAATGATTTTCGAGAAGGAAGCCAAGTCCAAAATAAAACATTCACCCTCTAGAGTAAAAGAAGAATTTAAGAAGTCTGTAGCATTCAAGATTATTATACAAGATCAGGTTGAGGAAGATAGTGATTACATAATGATTGAGTGAAGGGTTTAAAGTTGGAGTGTATGGAGGAAGGCTTTATCAGAGATTTTTAGAAAGGCATTTGTCTAGTCTAGTACAAGATTAGAGTTAGTTGTTGCACCTAGCGAGGCTTTGATATTATTCTTCAGATTAGATGGTGTTAAGATCGAAAAGAGAGTTATAAAGGCCTTTGCCCTTAAGGAGGAGATGATATTGAAATTTGGTATGTTTCTCTATTGTTATAGCACTTTAATGTTTAGTGAATATTATTACATGTATTTTGTGTTGATAATTTCATATGATATATAAAATATGTTCAGTTATATATTAAGATCTTGTTAATATTTTTTCTCACATGCATATAAATTTACTTAGTTTATTTCAATTTGGATTATGAGAAATATTATAGTGTGTTTATTTTAGATTGAACGAATGTGAGAAACATCCTCTTGGATGTTTGAGCCATCCAAGGTTGTTAGAAAGTATTATTTGATGACATTACTTGTATAGGAAGAGGTCAGTCAAATCCTCCTGGAATTGATCTCCAATTGATTGAGATACAATATAAATTATCTATTTTTTTAATCATAGATAAAGTAATTAGATTCATTGTTGTTTTTTTTATCATTTTTTATTATCTTTGAATAAGGAGACAATATAAAAATGGAACGAACATCATATTAGTATACTATGTATGATAATATAATAGTTCTCCAGCATAACTTAAAGATTTATAGAGTTATAAGAATTACATCATACTCAATCACAAAAGAGAGACATATGGGGGCTATACAACAACTTGGGGGAAAATACAAAACACAAGATAAATAGTATTGTTAACACCTACAGATAATACTTATGAAGGTTTCTAACATTCCAAGTTCAAGGGAGCATCTTCCCATTAGCATCCGTTAGTTTGAAGGTGCTAGGATTGACCGTAACTACCACCAAATAAGGACACTCCCATAGGGGAAAGAGTTTGTTCCACTGGGGTTCCTTTCTAACTACCTTGATGCTTAGTTAAACTAGATCCTGGATTGAGATACATTGAGGCTTCACCAACCAGTTATAGTATCGGGCAATTCTTTGGTGATATATGGTAGTTCTGAGTGAGGCTACATCTCTTACTTCTAAGAGAAGATCCAAGTTCTTTCTGAGCTATTCCTCATTATTATTCAAGTTAAAAGTTTGTTTTTTTATGACATAATACTCTAATATCAACTGATATGACTGCTTCTATTTCAAAGTAGAGGTTATACGGGGATTCACTTGT